GCTGGTACAAAGAAGAAAATCACCCTCAAATATTATTAAGGCTGGGCACCAGCCTCACCCCTGAATGGATGTAAAATGACTCATCACACTTAGGGGAAGCCAGCATGGAGCACCTCCCAGAAGGGCAGGTCGAGCCCACCACCCACCTTCTGGCTCTGCCCATCTCTTGGACCCTTGTTCTTATCAGGATCCAGGTAGTGGACAGTAAAGGAGCAGAAAGAGACAGACACAGCAAGATGCATGGACCAGAGTAGGGGCAGGTTGTGGCTGGAGTGTGACAGGAGCTGGGGGCGATCAAGGAGTCTCCATGGAGCAGGTGATGTCATAACAAAGACCTGAGGGGTTGGCCACCTGCAGCCCAGGGGCCATGTAGAGGGCTAGGTAGAGAGACAGGACCCAGTGAAGGCCCTGAGGCTGGAGCAAGCTCCGGCCAGGAAAAGGAAAGAGGCCCCTGTGGCTGAAAGTAAGCAAGCAGAGGACACAGTAGTAGAACTGGACAGAGGCCCTGGGGAAGCAGAGCAATCAGGAGCCAGGTCTTTCCCCATTTTTCTCCCAAGCCTCAAGAGCTGTGTGTACTCTAGATTCCTTTCTACTCTGAAAAACTCATGTGATTTTTTTTCATTCTCCTATACAATAATAAAAAAAAAAACTGCCAATGTCATAATACATTGTACAATTTTGATATATGTGGAGGTGTCCAGCCAAGTCCCCCACGTAGAGGCCAACCTTCCTGAGATGTTGAGGACTATGCCGGGGAGGCATGTGAGGAGCTGAGGTCATGGAAGAACATGAATGTGGATAGGCCCACTAAACATCCCAGCATGAAGTTTAGGAGACAATGGCCAGAAGATTCTAGGGTTTATGGAAGCAGTCTCCCGGAGAACTGGAGAGGTGAATGGTGTGTAAGGTGTGAGTGAGAGGAGGAGAAGAGACAGTGGCACACACAGAAGCTGAGCAGAGGTGCAAGGCTCCACTGTGGGGCAGCACCCCAGTCAGAGAACAGCGTGGGGCCTGGCAGCAGAGGAATTGCCAAAGTGATCCTTGGAAGAATCCCAATGAATGCAAGCAGAGTTTTAAGATAAGGAAGATGTCTGCAGAGCTAAGAAAAAAGAAGAGGGAGTCATCAACTGGGCAATGTGGTACTGACATGAAGAGATATGAGGACAAGACATTTAAAAAGGAATATAGAAACGGTGATGTCACAAGAGACTGAAAATTAAACCACTAGCTTAGGGTGGATGAGAACACTTGATTGGAAGACATGACTCCAGAACTAGAAGACAGTGCATATGAACAAATTTTCAGCATGCAAACATAGTCTAAAAGGGAAGTCCATATTACAGAGAAAAATGTAATTAACAAAGTGTTTTATCTTTTAGAGACAGAAGAATGGAAAACAAAAGAGGCTTTATTTCATGTGATTGGAAATGCTCAATGCCAGTGTTCTGAGGACAATGACCAAATGATTCTGCATGTGGAAAACTGATGATACACAGGGGAAGGACACCACACCATTTTCAGACTGTGAGAGGGGCTGAGAATGCTTGATCTCAGGGTCAGCACCAGCCAGAGGCAAAGACACACTCTCTTCAGGCAGCAGTGAGACACCAGCCTTGAGATGGGAGGGCAGCTTAGATAAGATCTCTTCCTTTTACTGTCTGATACAGGGAAAACCCACCCTGTTTCAACTGCTCTGACATTCTACAAACAATACCACCTCTCTAGTCACTAAAATGCATATGTGGTTGTTTAATAATGACCAGTTCTCTGCCAGACTCCTCCCTGGTATCTCAGGGTTCCCAGAACACCCTTCTAGGGTTCAGTTAACCTTTACCATGGCTCTTTCATCTGCCTATACCTCTGTAACCTATGTCACTTTATTTGTAACAAGCAAGCAAACAAAAGTACCATGTTTCCCTCAAGGTGTTGAGCAGGGGGTCCCAACTTCTCAAGGTGACTGGCACACCATGTGGGGCAGTGCTGTAGGAGAAAGGTCTGTGTCATCTGATGCTATCTCCAGGTAGCAGCAGCCAGATCTGAATGTCATTACAGAACACTAATTTGGCAGGTGGCACAGACACCCTTTGTTGGTGGGGAGAAATCCCCACACATTTACATGACCAGAGGTGAAAAACTCTCTGCTGAGTGGTCACTGTTGCATTCAGCATGACAAAAGCAAAAACACTTTAATTGCCCTTTCTATCTCCTACACTCCCTACATGACACCACAAATCAGGAGAGGAAGGAGGGTGACCCTGGACACAATGAGTTCAGTCACTGCCTTCGGGCTGGATAAGGGAGCTATCCTGTTACCTCTAGAATTTTAAAATACACCAGCCTCCTGGGCAGTAGTTTTGCAATTTCTTTCCTCACCTCTACTGTGCTTCTTTAGCACCCCCACCCTGGAGGGCGTCCTGCGCACTTTGCTTCCCTCTCCTCTCCTGGTTTCTCCCCTTCTTCCCTCTATTCCTTCCCTCCATCTGATCTTCCCCATTCCTGCAACTCCCTTCACCTCCAGTCAGTCTTTCTCCCCAGTCTTTGTCCCCAGTCTCCACAGATTTCCGCCTCTTTCTTCCCCATCCACACTCTCCATCTGCCCTGCCTGCTGCAGGCCCCTAATCCCATGCTCTGGATGCCCACATTCCGAGGCCTCCTCTCTAAGGTGCTCCTCTGGGCTCCCCTTGTCACCTGTTACCCCTCTTCTTATCCCAGCACCACAGCTGCCTTCTGCCATGCCTGCAGATAATGTGTCCTCTGCTCCCACGCTCTGCCTGTGGTCCCTCCCCGATTCTGTCTCTTTCCCTATGTCCTTCATCTCTCTAGATAGCTTGAGGTCTCTCCCCTGTTCTGTCCATATCCCTGTGTGGCTGTCCTTCGCCTCTCTGGAGTTTGCGATTCTAGATTTCTCCATCTGCTTCTCTCTGCTGCTTTATGGCTTCTTCTTTCACTCTTGTGCCCTCCCTCTGCAATCCCTTGCCATCTGTGTAAGGTCTCTCTCTGTTGTCTCCTTTCTCTCATTTGTGGTCCAGCTCTTTGTCCAGAGCCTAGTGCCACACATCACAGGGAGGGGGATGGTCTGGGATGCCCACCTCCAGGGGAGCATATTTTCCCCTGGGGTGGAATCTGTGCCACCTGCCCAATTAGTGTTCTGTGATGACATTCAGATCTGGCTGTTGCTACCTGGAGATGGCATCAGATGACCCCCTGGAAGTCACCACACAGGCCCAGGTCACCTCCTGTAGACAACAGGGAGACTAATGGAGGGAAGACCTGCAGGGTGGACACCTGGCCAAGGAGGACATGGCAGGTGAGGAGGACAGCGCCAAGGTAGACAGGGCCAAGTGAAGGTAGGGCCAGGTAGCAGGACAAGGCCTGGCAAAAGCTGGGCCAGTAGGGGAGCAGGGCTGGGTGAGGAACAGGGCAGGTGAGGAGGACAGGGCTGGGCGAGGGTAGGGTCAGGCCAGGAGACATGGCTGGGTGAGGACAGGACAGGTGAAGGCAGGACTGAGGAGGGCAGGGCCAGGTGATGGCAGGGCCTGGTGTGCAGATGGAGGCCAGCGCGCTGGGGGAGGCTGCAGGGCGGTCAGGCGGCCAAGCCTGACACGCGGCGGGTTCCCTGCCTGGCGCCGCTGCTGCAGGCCTGTGTGATTCTTATGTCTCTGGGGGAGACGCAGCCACTGAACAGGGAACTCACGTGCCTCACTGTGACCGCTGCTCCGTGATCAGCTTCCGGGTCTGGGAGGAGGAGCAGAGCGCTCCTGGAGATGCCTGGCAGGGAAACAGGGGCGGTGGGCGGGGCCGCGGCGGGCGGGGCGGGGCCAGAGTGACAGGAGGCGCGGCCCCGGGAGAAGGCGGGTGGGGCGGGGCGCGCAGGGGCGTGGCTGCGGACATTCTTACTTGGAACCTGGAGCCCCTTTAGAGTGACAGGCAGGAAATATGTAGCAAGTACCAGTTGAAATGCAAAACCGTCTGTGTAGATGGTGCCATTTTTCACTGTGTCCCTCAAGTCCTGCATTAACTTCTTTTCCATTTCTATTCTCAGTTCACTTTGAAGGTGATCCTGCACCTGTGCTAACTCCAGAGGCTCTCCTAGAGAACACATCCATGTCGTGGGGCGAGCAGGGCTAAGGCCAGTGATAACTTACATCACCAACAGCTGCTTCACAGCAATGGTGACAGCAAGCTGTACTTTAAAACAGTAGATGCTTTGATGTTTTTATCTATCTATCTGTTTATTTATTTATTTTTGTACTCGGGATTGAACCCAGGGACACTCAACCACTGGGCCATATCCCCAGCCCCATATGTATTTTATTTGAAGACAGGGTTTCACTGAGTTGCCAAGATCAGGATGGCCAAAGTAGCAGGTTCCAAGGAGGGGCGATGGGAGATTGGAAGAGATAAGATCACACAGGCAGATCTTGAAGCTAAAACAGCTGGGGTCTAGTGGAGAGCTGCTCTCTGATGCAGAAGCAGGTTTAAGGAATCACTCCAGCAGTCTTTATTATATATGTCTCTAAATCAGATTAAAGATTGTGCAAGCATTATTCTTTGTATTCATAAAAGTTACAGAGTTAGCAACAGTATGCAGCTATTTCCTCAGTTACATTGTACAGTTGCAACGTGCAATGTTAGGAGCATTGTGCAGCTCTCAAGAAAGTGCATTGTTTAAATTTACTAATTTGAGGCAGATTCAGGAGCAGCAGAACTGGTGAAATATTGTGGCTATCTTAGCAAGGACGTTCCGTCATTCCCAGGAGCTGCCCTGCCTGAGAATAAGGTCCAAGCTGATAAGACTCTAGCATGGAGGACTTCTCCATAGCAACCGGGCATCCTATGCTGCTGTGCGACCAGCACGCTAGTTTCATACTAGAGGTTCCAAACATAGAAGTTAACTAGTGAGATCAAAATAAAGACATATAAACTCAATTTACCTTTTTTTTGCCCAGCTAAGAGACGGCCCTTCCCGGCTCCTGACTCCAGCCACCTGATGTGCTAGCGAGGTTTACACAAGAGACCAGCAGGAGAGAGGGGGGAGCACGCGGAGAGTTGTCTTTTATTGGGGAACAAAAAATTCAGGGGAAAATTCCATGAAATGAAGGTCGAGGGGGACAGCATTCCAAGGTCAGGGTCAGTGATTGGTTTCAGGGTCAATGGTCAGTCACACCCCCATAGGGACAGGCTTTTGCACCTGAAAAGGGTGGGGATAAGCTCAGACACAGCTGGCCTGAGCGCCTCACACCCAGTCAGGGAGGTACCCAATCACATGTGAGAACGGCTTCCCACACTATGCCTATGCACAGAAACTTTCCCAGTCACCAAGTATGCCACAGCCATGAAGTCATCAGGGACCCCAATCTCAGACACTGTCACCGCTGTCCATACTGAGTGGCTAAGCGCCTCACCATTCCTGAGGCTGGCTTGAAAATTGCCATTTTCCAAAACAGTAGATATTTTTAAATCAAAAAGATTGGAGATCATTCCTACAGACTAAGCACATGCAGGGAGTCCCCAAGTCAAGTTGAACAGTGAAAATGGAGTCATCCACCTGGGCTGATTGTTCTGCTTTTGCAATCCTTGCATCTCTTAAATGACCTGTTGGACCGGGTTTGCTTCCTTGGGTTGGAAATTAGTAGTGTAGCAAGTTAGGGTGAGGGATTAAAGCTGCCTGTGAAGGCCACTTGTCTTGGGAGCTGAGAACATTTTCCTCCAACTAGTTGTAAACCATTGAGTGCATGCTTTTTTTTTTTTGCCAACAGGTGGTATGGGAAAATATAATTAAAAGCACAATTACCTCCCACCTCAGAAATCTTCCCCACCAATGTAGGAGAGAAAGAAGAAAATACTGTAATTGAATAAAGCTTTAAACTATAATGTTGTGGGTAACACAGGAAGAGATTGCAAATTTCAGCAAGATGCCTGAAGAGTCTGGTGTCTACCGTGTCTCAGTTACTGGGATGTTTCAAGAGATGGCTTTTTGGTCCTTGAAGACATGTCTGGGTCATAAAGCTGACAACACTCCTATTCAGTTTTCAAAAGAATTTATATGCATCTTAAGCACAGGAGAAAATAGATTAAATTTCAAGTTTCTAAGGTGAAAGTCTAAAAAGGAGGGGCAGAGAATTGCTTCCCTCATTTTCAGTAGGAAAAACTAATTTTTATATGTCTTGGTATTGAGGTCCTCAATCAGAGGCCTGGCTCTGAGGATTGAATAAATCAGGTCAGACCAGTCACCACCACCCCCGCCCCCCACAAAAAATAAGGTAAACACATGAAAGTAACTTTAGTCAGTAGAACTACATTGGGAATAGAAGAGTACCTGCTTCTTTATCTCTCTCTTCAAGAGGCTGACAATGTCTAGGCCCAGTGGTGGGTGCCTATAATCCCAGTGGGCTGAGACAGGAGGATGGGGATTTCAAGACAACCTCGGTAACTGTGGGGCACTAAGCAACTCAGTGAGACCCTGTCTCTATTTAATAAACTACAAAGTAGGTCTGTGGACGTGACTCAGTGGTAGAGTGCCCACTCTACATTACATTTTGCAACTGTAGAATGTAAGTGAGGAAATAGCTGCATACTGTTGCTAACTCTGAATTCAATGCCTGGTAAGCCCCTACCCCCAAACTGGCTGACAATGACTTTGAGGTTTTATAATAAGGGGGAGTGGGGCTGGAGTTATAGCTCCAGTTGGTGTAGGTGTAACTCAAGTAGCACATGTGCAAGACTTTGAGTTCAATCCCTAGCAGGGGAGAACACACACACACACACACACAATTTAAAAAAGGGTAATGAGAGCAAGGGTTGGGGATTTGCATAGGAGAAGGCTTTTCTCTGCTGCCAAAGCAGGTGATTTTCTCTAAGTGATGTCTTGTGACAGGGGAAGAGATGTGTTTGGAGAAGACTCTGAGGAGCTTCCAGAGAGAATAGGAAAATTGTCTCAGTTGTGTTCTTGGCACACATGACTGAAAAGAATTTCAGCACATGCCAAAGGCATACAAAGTGATTTATTTAGGAGGTAAATACATATTCAAGAAAGAATAGGAGCCCTCTCTAAATGGAGTCTCCTCTGGGGTAAAGCAAGGCATATACATTCAAGGGAGAAGCCTGGCTATTTCTGGAGCACGGGACTAATCCTTAGAATGGTGATGTTAATATTCATAGAGGAACAGTTCCTAGGTCCTGGGCCTGAGGTGGAGCGATGTCAGAGCAAGCAAATATCACGTTTTCCTTGTGCTTGAGTATTGACCTCAGGTTACAAGGCTGAAGGGCATGAATCAAGGACATATCAGTGGGGCGCTGAAATTTGTTTCATGGGTGCTTTATGCATTTCAGTGGTTCTGAGGTAGCAAAACCAGATCCAGTTGTAAAATGAAATTGTAGAAATGTTATCCTGAGAAACGAATGCCTGGGGCAAGAGTAAGTTCCCTTCCCTTGCTATATCATTTCTTCAGCAAACCTAATTAACCCTAAGTCCCTACATTTTGTATTGAAAATATCTGAGTCTGAGTACTCTGTTTTGAAACGGCAACAGTCTTGTGGGATCTAGTCCAGCTAGGCAAGTGCCTTACCACTCAGCCACAGTTCATAATGTGGAGTAGAAATTTTATGGCACGAAATAGCCTCTAAATGTTGTGAGAAACTGAGGATCAGTGCTCAGCATTTGTAGTTTGTTCTCTTCTGGTCCTGCTTGTGAAAAATAAAGTTTGGATTTGTCCTCCAAGAGTGCTACTTGCTGCTGCTGGACCAGTCTGTTTCACCACAGTTCATGGGCACTTCCTTTGAGACTCAGTATATTTCCCTTTATTTTTAAATTCCCACCTCAATGTAGTCCATCATTATCTCAGGATTAGCCAGGTGGAGCCTCTTCCTGAATAAAGAAAGTTGCTCTTGCTGTGAGGTAGTCTGGAGTCCACACAAGATGTTTATCTTGTCAAATGTTGTTTGGAATCCAAGGTGACTTGGAGCCAAAGAGTTAGATGTAAAATGGAGGCAGAGATGACATGTCTCAGTCCTGCCTTTAGCCACCCATTGGATATTTGGAGGCAGAAGTGAAGAGGCTAAACCCTTGTGACATTTTTACAGTGCATATATTCTGCAAGTGACTCTGGTAAACCTCAGACGTGTGCACTGGGATTCAGTGTTGTCTATGAGTTTGTGTGTGGGGGGCAGTTAATATCCAATGGTGTTTGAGGTCAGGAATTTCTGAGGATTAGAACATATTAGAATTTCATATATAGCTGGGTATGGTGGTGCACTACTGTAATTCCTGTGGCTCAGGATGCTGAGACAGGCAGATAGAAAGTTCAAAGCCAGCCCCATTAGTTTAGTGAGGCCATAATCAACTGAGTGAGACACTGTGTCAAAATAAATAAATAAATAAAAGGCCTGGGGGTGTGGCTCAGTAATTAAGTGTCCTTGGTTTCAGAAGAGCTGAAATTTACCGTGTTGTTATGTATATGCTATATACATTCAATGCAAAACTTTGATTGTGATAAAAAGAAAAAAATCCCCAAGCTTTGCTTGTGCATCCTGCCATGTCCACTTCCATCAGAGCACCCTATCTAGTTCTTTCATCCATTCACCCCAGCGACAGGTACCAAACCCTTGGCTTAGTTCCAGGAACACTGTGAAGTCAGACACAGGAGGGGGGGGGGGGGCGGATTTATATCCTGAGGGCCTCTGGGTGAAATTGTAAATGCTGCCCGGCCACATTTTCCTTTCACATTCTGATTCGCATCGACTTCATGGATAATCCCAGGGTTTTTGAATTCAATTGCTAAAATTAATTGTAATAGCAAGAACCGAACTAGATCCTATCACCCAATGTTAACCCAGGGGCCCTCCCCAAGGGCGAAGTGACCTCCCACATTCCCATGTTGTCGCAGCTTCCCAGGGAGTCTCACCTCCGTTTTCAGTCATAAAACACAAAAACGCGGAAAGCAGGATAATTAGGCCTCGCCCACACCCTTGCCCACTAAGACCCTGCGTT